ACCGTGATAACAAGATAGTTATGTCATTAAAAAAAGTAAAAGTCGAGTTTGACCGCTCTGAGCTTCCGTAGGCCAGGGGCTGGAAGTTGGAGGGGATTTTTTGACTGTGAAGAGCCATTCTGAATGGATGCTACTGTATTTACAAATATTTAGCCTCCTTTATTTTTAAATTCATTTACTATGTAATACTGAGTGTGGGTTTATCACATTAAATCAACATTAAATACACTAAAAGGTAAAGAAGGTATTTAAACTACTGCACTTTTATGGTAGATGAATAAAAAGTCTTATTTGGGCTGACATTGCTGCGCCTCCTCAAAGGGCAACATACCAACAATGAAACATTTCCCATCAGAGAAATGAGCACGATTCATCTCAGTCACAGTTAATTATTTTGTACATTAAACAGCTGTGTTTAATGTTGTTTCACACCAGTGGGCTGCTGACATTTTTTCCCAGAAGTAAGTGGTCCAAACACTTACAAAGCGCTTTAATTGATGACTTAATTCCTCCCACCTATTCCGCTGCACACACAGACACACACCCAGAAGCTAACTACATTCACCCACATTAAAACAATGCAAGAGACAGAAAAGGAAATCTTTGCGTGTGGTCGATGGCGACCATGATGTCACGAGAGCAGGAAGACTGTCACTTAATCTGAACCTGCGGCTGCAGCGGGACTGCTTCACGGCGCCGTCAGAGGATAAAAATAAGCTTCATCTGCAGCGGCACTCAGAGAAGCACCTTAGAGACGTCTCAGGACGCCGGCAGCAGAACTACTTCCATTCACAGCAGGAAACTAGGAGGAATTCACTGCTCCATTTATTTTAAGGTAGAATATCACACATTATGTGATGTTGAAACAACACAGAGGTTTTGCTAAACCTGTGTCCCATTTTAGCAAGGATCATTTCCCCCTATATGTTGTAATGACATCAGCGGGTAACTGAGGCACAGTGATTGCAGCGCTGCAAATGGTGCTATACGGAGTGGGTGAAACCTGCTCTAGTGTCACATTCTGTTATTGGACTGACCTAGCAGAGCGGTGTTCAGCTTAAAAAGAGAAAAGCCAAAAGGTATTAAACTCCAAACAGGTGTTCTTTGGTTGAATAAGAAATAAATTAACTTTACAGGCATCAAAATGTGAAAAGAATCCTTTAAGATGAAGTGGCATTCAAGCTTATAGGTCTGTCTGTGTGATGAATGGTGGCTCCTGTTTAATCAATTACATTTCATACCACATAATTCCAATGACACGCCCTCAGTCAGAGGTCAGGCTGCTTCATCTGTGCTCTGCTCCTCCTCAGAGAGACTATTTTACACACATCTACTGCCAGAACTGTTTACTCATACAGGTCAAAATCCTACCAGGTTAATATTAATCTACGAGAAATACTAAATATGGACTCCATACTCCGGATAGGACAGCCAAAGATCCCTCTGAACAAATACGATTTTAATCCTGATTTAAAGCGACATTTTTACAGTTTTTTGGGGAGTTTGTTCAAAATAAGTTAAATTCTATCCAGTTTATTTCTATAGCTCCAATTCCCATCATGTCATCTCAGGTCACTTTCCAGATCCAGATCAACCA